TAGAATATTTATGCAAAGTTTCAATCCATTTTTATAAAACCTCGAAGAAAAAAGTGAGAAAATTGATTATGACTGGGGTCGCCCCTAGTCCAAAATTAAAAATGTATGTCCTACTTGGTTTTTTGCTCAAAAAAATTTTAGGATGTTTTATTTGTATTTGTTTTAAGCACTAGAATATTCATGCAAAGTTTCAATCCATTTGGATAAACCTTCGAAGAAAAAAGTGACAAAATTGATTTTGACTAGGGTCGCCCCTTGTCCAAAATTGAAAATGTATTTCCTACTTGGTTCTTTGCTCAAAAAATTTTTAGGATGTTTTATTTGTATTTGTTTTAAGCACTAGAATATGTATGCAAAGTTTCAATCCATTTGGATAAACCCTCGAAGAAAAAAAGTGACAAAATTGATTTTGACTAGGGTCGCCCCTAGTCCAAAATTGAAAATGTATTTCCTTCTTGGTTCTTTGCTCAAAAAAAATTTTTTCATCCAAAGTTTAATTTAAAATAAAAAAAAATCACAGTGAACTTTTAATTTGAAAAATTCGTAAGGAAAGTTTTTTGCTTTTTCTGAAGCAACAGCTATTCCTACCTTGCCCAAAAACAATACAGCTCTTCTATAGAGCAGCACGGATCAAATGTAAAAAACTAGAAGTCTCTACAATGTCTCGTTATTGAGATTTCTTGCTGATTAACTTGCTTGCTTGTTTGCTTACAGAAAGCGTATTTTGCGATTTTCTCAGCAATGCCACAACTAATTTGAAATCTGTTTTTTGAAAATGATGTAAAATTTCAGGCACAAACTTTTCTTCTGTGACCTTTTATAACCAATTTTGCTTTGTTTTCTGACAAAATGCGAAAAACTGATTTTTCAATCTGAACAAAACCTATAGATTCACACGTGAAAATGGTGTGAATATAAAAAAAAAATTCCATGCACAATCTCCTCTTCGATATGCTCTTGCAATGTATTTATTTCGAAATTAAATATGCGGACGGCTGACTTTATGCAATTACATTCAAGGACGAAAATGCTTTAAAGCATACCCTGCTATTGCCATAAACATAAAACTCGCGACAGTCTCTACATACAACTTTTATTATTATTGTATATTTTTCAGTACTTTTTAATTTTCTTACGTCTACGCTGCCACTCATGCACTTAAAATTATTTTTCTACATATATTTTCACTTCTTCGTTGTCGTCGACGTTACTTCATGGACACAAAATGAGAAAAGGAGCGACAACATCAGTTAAAACGAGATTTTGTCCTTGGAACGAATCTCTGCAAGTTTCTTACAGGTTTTATTACAACTCTTAAATGACGTTAACTGCTAGAGACAATGGAAGCATCTAGAATATTAAACTTTGGGTCGTTAACTAATTTTAATCACGAAATGAGAATGTGACGATAAATTTTAAGCAATTTTACGGTATGCATAAATAATGTTGGGTAACATGGGGTTCGAAAAGCTAGTTTTCTTTTTTTAATTTAAGTACCCACAAGCTTAAGATAGTAATTGTTAAAAAGAATTTCTACAGGGAATTCATATCCTCGCAAAAATCAAGGTTGGTTTTAATTAATGAAAGTACTAATAAATTGATAAGTGAGATAAAGTGAGTAAAACTAGAATTGATTTTATCTGAATTTTTCAAATTTGAATCATAAAACAATTGGAACAATTGAAAATTAGGTTTGTCTAACAATGCGGCGTTGAGACATAACATTCCTAATATGCTTTAAAAGTCTCCAGGAAAGATCTCTTTGATAATCATTAACATTTCCTAATATTCATCCAACGGTGCGGAACTGAAAAAATTATCAAAATTTAATTTATCAGTTTACAACATATTTTTCGTTAACACAACATATCCCTAAGTAGCTATGTTGACTGCAAAACGTCAAAAAGACATGAACATATTATGTTAAAGTCGTGACTGCATGTTACACCTAAATATAGCAATATATATATATATATATATATATAGTGTCTGATTTCATACTTTTCAGTGTTCTTAATGACGAATCCTCACTCATGAAACCATCATTACCTGTGAACTGCCCTAGCACAGCTGTGGATCTAAAAAGCTAAAGTTTTTTTTTGTGCTTGATGAACTGTGCATCTTCATGTTAGAAGCAAGGTATTAATATAATTAAATGTCTATTTTACATATCAAATTGCATTGAAAATCCTTTGAGATTTCTAAGCTGTGTAAAAATGATCTTGATAAGGATTTAGCGCTTGTTTATATCACACCCATTTATGTTATTAATAAATATACGTGGGACGACAGTGAGTCAAAAAGGATAAAAATTTCCAGAAAATTATATGAATCATTTCTGCAAATAAAAATTTCAATAGCTTTAACGATACTGGCATCAATAGATTAACTTTCTGAAGTGGGTGAAAAGGAGAACATCCTGCTAAGAAAAAAGCGTTAAGGGCATTCACTTGTGACATTCATCATTTAAAAGAAGTCATTATGATTCTAAATTTCTCAAGAAAATCTGCCATTTTGATTAATTTTTTAAAGTCAAGCTTAACAGACTAGCTATGAATAAACATTCAGCTTAGTCTTCCATCCCGATTTCCCGATTTAACGCCGGTTTCTATCTTGGTTCCATCAAAATATGACACAAAAATTAAGAAGGAAAAGGGAACAAATAAGTTTAAGATAGAAAGACGTGTCATCAGATCAGATAGATCATAGATCAACATTATATGTAAGCATCATTAATGCATTATTCATTACAAAAAGTTTATAGAAATTTGATATGTCTCTTCAGCCTTATGCTTACTTTATGTTTTCTCCATTATTCATTTCTCTACGAGTTCCCATTTTCCCCAAACTAAAGAATTGAATTACAAGAAAAAAGGGAAAAAAAATAATGCAGAAAATGTAATTGAAATATGAATAAAGTGAATATAATTTTCTAACATATGGATTGACGCCTTAGTCGATACTCGATGTTTTTGAAATTTTATATCAGCAATTTCTTGAGAATCCTTCGAAAAGGTCCTGCGTAGTTAAATGCTTATTGAAGTTTTCGCAAGTCGAGTTCTATTTTTGGAAATGTCAAATAAAAAAATTCTCATGAAATATTTTGATAAATTACATAGCACCCCAAAGCACTTATTCTCAGATCCAATAAGAATAATTGACTTTTTTGGCACTTTTTATCATATCAGAAAAATAAGGAAAAATGTTTTTTTGAGGTTCATCATTTTGAACGTTTTGAGAAATATCGTTTCCAATTAAATGTATGGTTTATGATCGACAAAAGCCTTCATTAGTCGCAGTAAGTCCATAATATTTTTAAAAAAAAATCTATGCAATATGAAATAATTGTTACCAATAAATATCGAAAACAGCGCACATTCACTCACTTACTCATCATAATCCTCACTTACATGTTTTCTTATTCTTCAAAAAAAAATCACATTTACGTAAGTCAGAAGCAACGCACATCTCCGTTGCACAATGTAGAATAAAGTGTCGCACTATTGTTGTCATTTGGTCACACATTTATCAACACCGCACTCGATGAGTAGTGATATCGTATTACGTCAAGATTGAATGTGCACAAAACATACTTATTCATTCATTTTCGGGTTCATTCATTGACGGAACTACGTTGAGAGTTGTTAGGTATCAAATGGATTAAAGCGCACATTGATATGACTTGATGGACGTTATAAGTAAAGTCGATGAAGTTCCCCTTTAAAAGCGTTATCGACCCTTTTATAAAAATAATAATTAAACTAAATTTCATTCAAGCTAAAATTTCAATTTTGAGGGGTTCGAATCTTGACGTTCTTACGAAGCACATGAAAGTAGACTTGCAAACATTTTGAAAAGTACAGTCAGAAATGTCGTGTAAACTTCTGTCAGCTTTGTATGCTATTAAAATTTTCATCCTTATAATAGTCGCATAGCTCTAGACTTCCTCACTCCCACTAAAAATGTTGACCGACCTTATAATAAATGATTAAATACCGCCTCATCATCCCAAACTGAGAGATATTGTACACTAGATACTTGCTTTTTTCAATATTTTCTCCGTTTATACACTCATAAAAATATTTTTAGTAATTTGTTGTTAAAATCTTATTAAAATTTTTTTAATGAGAATTATTAAAATTTTAGTAAACCTTATCAAACTTTTAGTAAAACTTATCAAATTTTAATAAAAGTTTTTAAAATCCTACAGCGTTGTAAAACTGTTGTAGGTTTCCAAAATTGTAAGATTTTCATACATTTTATATACTTCACAAACGCTTCCAGAAATGACTTATACAAAAGAATGTCTTAGTTCTCATACAAAGTCATATAAAATTATTAATTTCTTATGAGGCACATTAAGTGCCAAAAATCATGCAAAGTCTTAAGCTTTGAGAAAGCGTTTTACTTAAGACTTGAAAAAGCTCCATACTATAAATTAATTATACTATAAAACTGTTTTTGTAAAAAAATAATCCAAGAAATTTTAATGACTTTTTACTAAAATCCATGAACAAATTTAATATAAATTATAAAAAATTCATCTTAATAACTTTTTACTAAAGTTTAGTAAGAAAATTATTAAAATTTTTTAACGGTTTTGTAAAATTTGAATGCAATTTTGTAAAACCAAAACTTTTAATAACCCTTATCAAATTTTAGTAAAAGTTATCAAGATGTATTTTTATAAACTTTTATTAAACTTTTTCATACATTTTTAATAAAATTTATTAATTTTTTTTTATGAGTGTAAGCTAAGCATAAAGTGTGTGGGAAAAAGGATGAAAAATATCCTAGCTTTTAAATGTCACCGCCAACGCATAACAATGATAGCGGCAAAGACAATTTATTGAGTCTGACTCTGATGATTTTTACGACTTGATTCCATATGTTTTAAAAAAAATAATTTTCCCGTTTTTTTTTTATTCGCTACTATCGTCAATGACTGAATGATTATCGTAAGAACGACGTAAATTGGAATCTAATTGGAAAAAAGTAAATTTTATTCGTGTACTCAATAGAAATGATTCACCGAGAATAAAAACTAATAAATAATCCATTGAACTTAAATTGAATCTATGACTCAATCGCTAAGGAATGTTGCATATTTGCATAAATTCATATTTTAAAAAAAAACTTTTATTTCATTTTTCTGTTCGACACTTCTCAATATGTATTTTTACACACTAAAAAAAGAGACCGAAAGCAGCAGTTCTGGCAAAAAAAAAAAAAGTCAAGTATGCACATACATACTGTATAATCCGTAAAATGAAATATGAAATGGAATATAAAAAAAAATCGAGTGAAGAAAAAAAGAAGGAAGGAATTCCTTTATTGTGCAATATTGTTCACATTTTAATGAGTCCTGATTACGAAAAACGATATTGCGGACATAATTATCCATTAAATTGTCACATATTTATTGTATGATATTATAGTAATCGATAAACTATCATACTATTCACATTAAATGATTTAAATTTTTTATTAAATTGCAAAAATCATTCACGTACTGTTCAGTTCTTCTCTCTGTGTAAACGCCCCTGTCTCAAATTAATTTTTAACATATTTTACTCACAATTTTCAATGATTTTCATATTTTTTCACTTTATCGACACTAAAGTTCGATCATCATCCACTTTCCAGTTAATATCTTTTTGTAGATATTCAATTTTTTAAATAAAATATTAATTTCATCTGAAATTGATCAACTTTATATTTCGGAACTTCAACACACTAGGAACGTCTGTCGACGTTTTATGTGTATGTCTAATGCTGTGGAGAATACTAGTCACAAATTGAATTATCTTGTTGCAACATATATGGGTCAAAATTCTGTAGTTTTGAGCAATTTTTAAATTTTTTTCAACAATTTTTGATTTAAAACTTTTCAAAATTAAAAAAATGAAATATTGAAAATATTTAAAAAGGTTTTAAATTCGATTTTTAAGGAATCATCAAAGCTGTATTAAAAGTGAAAATCATAACAGTCAAATATTTTTCAAAAAGTGAACACTTGTCTCAACATAATCGTGGGTGTTTTATAATTTCAAAATTAATTCAAACCGTTGTCTTATTGGAATCCTCTTAGCATGACTTAGTTTGATGCAGTAAAAATTTGATTAAATTTGGTTCGGATCTTACTATAAACTGTAGGTCTAAAGGGTGTGGTACAATAGATTCTGTTCTTATTTGAATCGCAGTGCCTCCAGCTGAAAGGCTGGACCCCAATGAGTGCGAACAAAGAAAATTTCAGTTAATTTTGGTTAAATTCGAAAAATTCAAAAAAAATTCGAAAATATGAAATTTTGAAAAATAAAAAAACGTTATCGACTTAATTAAGAAACAAATTTATTTCAATTGTTTTTTGATGCAAAATTGTTTCTTTTATGTATTAATCAACACGGATACTGAAATTTTGCTCTAAATTTAACAAAAGCTTTTAATAGTTTATCAATCGTTTCTTCACAATGTTCAAAAACTACTTCAACTTGGGCAATTACTTAGGGTAACCATCTAATTTTCATGAAAATACAGGACTTTTGGTAAATTTTTTCGAAAAATACAGGACATAGAGTAAAATTCGAAAATTAACGGAAATTCTCGTGAAAAAAACATAGGACCTGGAACAAAGTTTTCAAATTTATACAGGACAGGGTTTTGAAATACAGGACTGTCCGTTGTAAAACTACGCAGATGGTCACCCTACAATTACTGTATCAATAAATTGTTGATTAAATGAAGGATCAGAACATGAAATAAGACAATTTAATAGCCTATAAATGAATTCTAGACACATTAAAAAGCATTGAACTTCTACTGAAAGTTGCCATGAAGATTCTTTTTTCAAGAAGTAATTAAATGCAAAATGTAAACAAATAATTGTAACGGAAATTTCAAATTCAATTTTTTTTCTCGCGCTCGAAAATTAGATCCTTCGAAATCGAAAATTAGTTCTCATCCGCACTCATTGGGCTGGACCCTTCACACATCATTATTGGACTCGACTAGCTCAAGGGTATTGAAAATTGTACTGCACTTGGAAGCGTTTTAAAGAGCAACGACTAATTGATGGTGATCAATTAATCACAATTGATTCTTAAGGTTCTTCTTAATTTAATTCAAATTTTAATCGCAATGCTTAAATCCAAAATCAGTCAAATAGCAACCAATTTAGTGGAGACATGAAACGAAAAAGGAACAAGTTCTCATGTTAATTACAAGAATTTTTATTATTTCAATAGCAGTTTCTCTAATTAAATTTTTTACACAATATTTTTTTTTTCTTTTTGCATCGCGATGGTCAGACCAGACGTATTGATCATCAGGTAATAGTAAATTAATAGCTTTATCATTTTTTTTTTTCTTTCAATTTATAAGTAACAATAGTTTTTCTTTTCAGAAGGAAGAAATTTTGATGAGAATTTTTATAATTTTTACCGCATTTTTGAAACTTGTTTAGAAAAGGTAGTTTAATAATGCACTTTGTTCGTTCGGCATGGCTCTTGAAAGGTTGAAACTCTTTATTAGCTAATTTCAACCGTTATAAAAATTGTTCGATTGCATTTAGAAATTCAAACTTATTTTAACCGATTATAAATTTGAATCTCAAAAATACGTTAAATGAAAAATTCCTTTGAATTCAAGAAAATAACGATTTAAGGACAAAAAACTTTTTACTGCAAACAATATTTGAGGCTCTGCAAATAGAAATGAGAATTAAGCATTTTTCAGTTATCGAACTATATTTTCTATTTCTTTGTTCAAAAGTATATCATATTATATATTTTTGGAAAGGTCTTGATTTAAGGAATACAAAAAACTTGATTATATTAACCAATTTTATCCAGGGTTGGAACACTAGTGCTCAGAATATAGTGAAAACCATACTTTTTCAACGCTCTTTTTCACCTAGTTCCAGTTGGTCAAAAAATATGCTTTTATGATTTTTAAATAGATAAAATAACATATTAAAACGCAATACAGAGTTTTTTAAAAAAACAACTTTGGGAAACAGAAATATGAATTTTTGAACTCTGGCAACTTTTATATGGGATATCCACTAAAATGAGGAGAACTAATCACAGGAAACGAGTTTTGAAATAATTTAAACGGATTTGAATAGGTATTATAAAGTTAAATAATAAAAACATAAAATATTTTGAATTACATAATATTCAAATGTTAAAAATACGTTATATGTGATTTTCAATGATAACCACAATATAATTACTTTTTTAAAAATTAAGATACTTAATCAAATTTTCTATGATTTTGTAATTGAAAACATGTTTCTAGTAAAAGCATATTTTTTGACCAACTGAAACTAGGTGAAAAAGAGCGTTGAAAGGGTATGGTTTTCACCATATTCTGAGCACTAGTGTTCCAACCCTGGATAAAATTGGTTAATATAATTAAGTTTTTTGTATTCCTTAAATCAAGACCTTTCCAAAAATATATAATATGATATACTTTTGAACAAAGAAATAGAAAATATAGTCTTAATGCTTAATTCTCATTTCTATTTGCAGAGCCTCATTTGTAAAATACTTCAAGCAAATTTTTGGAGCTATTTGCTTATTGACTCGCATTTTACACGCTTTTATTCAACTCACTCTGTTATGGAGCGTCAAATCTTGCAATCGATTTTTCGACCACTTCTATTGCTCCAATCGAGCTCAAATTTTGTATACACACGTATTCCCGGTGACAATACAATATTGTAACACTTTGGAACCACAAAAATGCTTAATTATAGTACAATTTAAGTAAAACTTTTTTATATGGGAAAAAATCCATTGTCAATGATATGAAATTTTGATTTAATTAAAATATTATACTTGAAATGCTCAAAAGTCATTTATATGATTCATTATAGTTTAAGTAATATTACTAATTATTGATTTTACTATAAATTTGAGCAGCTAAAGATATTTTGGCAAGACAAAAAATTTGACAAGTAATTTTTTCATGAACATTCGTAAGTGAAAATTTGAATTTTCAAAAAAACCGTTAAACACAAGTCCGTTACTAATTAATGCAAAATAACTATCAATATGCGATGTGCATTTAGCACACATATTTAGAGCATACATTTATGCTGTTTTAATTTTTTTACAATATTTATAACACTTCACCAATTTAATTATGTTAATTATTCTATTTATTAACGGCTTGACATATTTTTGCATATCATATAAATGACATTCATTAAATTTAAATTTGAAAAAATCCGTTATAAATACGTTACGTATAGATGTGATTTTCATCTTTATGTTAAGAATCTACATGTTATGTAGTAGGAATGGGACGGATAAACTCAAAATCTTTATTTGAAGTTAGGACATTTTTAAAAGAGTTTCATGTATTTTCAGGTATGAATTAAATAATTTAAAACGAATGAAAAATTTTGACAGTCTTTACTAATTACCCATTAAAAACTGTTAATTCATAAAAAGTTGAATGAAACGGAGTGAAGCGAAGTGAAATCTAAAACTTCCTGCAATCTAAAAACTGTAACCTCCTTATTAAGTTTGATAGAACCAGTGTTGTAATAAAACAAAAATTCCAAATTTTGGAAGTTGAATCGATTTATAGATTTGATAAAACTAAAAAGTAGAAAATAAAATACTATAAAAAAAAACTTTTTTAAAAAAGCACGCTTTTATTTCCGATTACAGTGCACTAAAAAGGAGAAAATAATTTTTTTCTGAGAACTCAAATTTGATACAAAATTTTATGACTAAAAATAAAAGCGTGGGGCATTCTTGCATGCATCACTAAATCTTGAATTGTGACAATTAAAAATCATCCATATATGTTTACAAAAGCACAAATAGGTTTGTGAATATATTATAGAAAATCTAGAGCTGGTTTAAATTAAACGCCCCACGCTTTAATTTTTAGTCATAAAATTTTGTATCAAATTTGAGTTCTCAGAAAAAAATTATTTTCTCCTTTTTAGTGCACTGTAATCGGAAATAAAAGCGTGCTTTTTTAAAAAAGTTTTTTTTTATAGTATTTTTGTTGTTAAAAAAATACTGATCGTTGCGTCAAAAATGCACTGAAGTCCTTCGATCAATAACACGAGGACTTTAGTAATTTTTTATTCATTTATTTTTATTTTTTTCTTATTTCGATTTTCTTATCATTGAAAAATTTCTTAAGCATTGAACATTTTGGTTATTTCAATATATAAAATAGTGTTTTTATTCCTTTTTAATATTTTTTACTTATTTGCCATGATAAAAAGAACTGGTCTAAAGAATTATGAGCCCTAATACACAAAAGAATTAAAAGATTTTCTACTGTTATCATTAAATATATTGTAAATTGTTTACTTCTTCAAAATTCTGTATTTTTTTAATAACATGAAATAAGAGAAGAAAAATGTTTAGGAAATGAATTCTAATAGAAATAAAGTATTATAACATAATTACAGGCTTATTATCATCATTTTTTTTTAAATATGGATTTAATTTCTTACGAGCTTTACGTGTTTTATTTTTCATATTTATCCCTAAAGCAGATTAGATTTAGCTCACTCTCTTTGAATATTTGTTATCCTTTTAGGCAAATCCAAAACCTTCCGAGCATTCGTGTATCGCTTTCATTAAGTTGGTACGTAGTTTATCATATGATTTATAGACTGGCAAGTCCAATTGATTAAAGCTGCAATGACATAAAGCAAATAAGTTATTCAATGTTCAAAATAATCAGCATGTGTAATTTAATACATACCATGTGTGTGCTGACGGCAATCGATCTGTTGAACGATCATCACGATGAATTTGGAACTTTTGAATACCATTCATTCCTTCTAATGCACCAAATCCTTGGAGTGGTACTTTTGATGTTCCAGTTACAAATTGGAGGAATTTAGCTCGCTCTGCTTGATCGAAACTACGTAATGCACGCCAGAACCATTGAATCTAAAAAATAAAAAAAAAATACGGAGGTTAATAAAATTCAATAAATTCAGAAGTAATGATTTTCTCACCTGAATTGAAGTAGCTTGATATTTATGATATTCTGTATTTGCACGCAAATCTTCAATATCAATGTTTGGTAATCCAGATATAAGCAATTCCAATTCCTGCTCATTAAATATTGAAATCAGTCGTTTCGGGATAATATCATAGAAGCCTTCCAAGAATGCATTAAGCCTGAAAAAGTGGAGAGAGAAAAATAGTTGCAGAATAAAGATTGATCGATAATTTTAATTCATTTCACTTACTGTTGCTTTATGGAGCCGCTCATCTTCAATTGACACACAAGTTGAATGTATTCAAGTTTATTCTCTTCCGTAACAGCAATATTGCCGCCATTTGGTTTTAATTCTCTCACTTCAGTTACACCGAATTCTTGTATTTCTAAACTGAACGTCAAATCATATCCAAGTGATTCGACATGATTTTCCATCAAATATACGAGACCTTGATAGAATGCATAATCTTCGCTCTCCATGTCTGTATATTTTACTTGTATGCCAAGAATATGCTTGTAAAAAGCTCTTGTGAAGTAGCACTCAAGAAGCTTGTTGTCGTAAATTGCTTTAGCTACAATTTTGAAGAGTAGAGAATTGAAAAGGGAATTGTTAATAAATTGTCATCAATCTATTATTAAAAATTAAAAGCTTACCTATTACACGACCAACGAATTTAAAGTAACACAAATGATTTGGATTGCAATGTGACGATGGATTAATCATATAAGTAACGCGATCACCAGGCGAGACAGTGAATAGAGCGTACATTGGATTAAAGATTTCGCGTGATATAATCATATACCATTCGCGTAATAATCCACCAGCATCTTGACCTTCTTCGTCTTCGAATACAATGTAGAATCGATTTTTCCATTCTTCAGGACTTCGTCGATAAAGTTCACGGAACGAGTCTTCAAAGACATTTGCACGATGGACATGTACAGCAACTTCCTCTCGTCTAACTCCATCGTCAAGTCTCTCAAGTTCAATACGGAAGTATCGTCGTTTAACATCAAAGTCTAAGACTCGTGTATGATCGACGAGAACAGCAAATGGTCCATCAGCTAAATGCACTGATGATTGTCTTAAAATTTGATTAAGCACAACACGATGTGTCTCGGCAAAGTGTAAGAATTTCTTTTGATCTGGTGTCAAATTTTGTTGACTAACTTGTTGCTGTAAACCTCCCGTTGAGGATGACGCTTGAACTGATCCATCACTTGATTGTGTCGTATCCATTGGTGATAAACGTTCATGTGAAGTTCCAGCCTCACTATTTGATTCGACAGCTACAGCTGCAGCTGCAGTTTCATCAATCGGAATATTCAAATGAACTTGTTGTGGCTGCTGTTGTTGTTGTTCTGTATTATTTTCTTGATTTGATCTCTCTTCGTTTGCTTGATTATTATTAGCATTTTCAGCGGTAGCATTATTATCACGTTGTGGTGCCTCTGGATTTGCAGCTGTTCCAGCATTACGAAGCGCTCGTGCTGCCAAATTACGTTCAGCTATTGTCGTTTTAACTTGTGGTGCTGAATGTACGATAAAGAATGCTTCTACGGTCGGTTGTAAAACGAGGACTGCATGATGATCTTGTGTCTCTTCTAATTCCTTCAAGCAATCACTCAATGTATTCCATAATGAATCGAGATCAAGAAGTTCACTTAATGGAACAGTTTCTAGTTTCACAAGCTGTTGCTCAACATCAGCATCACATACTTTTGAATCTTGTCGTACTGTATCGCGAATTTGTGTGATAACTTTAAGAATTCGCAAAAAGAAGCTTTGATTAGATGTCTTCGATAAAAGTGGTGCCATTGATGGTAATTGAAGATCATTGGATGTCTTAACTTTCGATGGTGCCGTAATAATGACTGCATCTTTCGTAAATCGATCTTTTAATGTGCCTCTTGATGTTGAAGGCTTTGATAGTTCATCAGAATCATCGTTATTTGATTCTGGCTTTAATTTTTCATTCTTAATCGTCTCATTTAATTCTCTTAGCTCAACCATAAGATTGTTAATGTGTTTCTGGACCATATGTGATAAATCAATTACACCTTTTACCAATAATTTAATTATCATATATTTTGTCATACTCGAACATTGACTTAAATTTATTAAAAGTGATGTCGCATCTTCTAATCCATCTTCGGAACATGATTTAGATGTTAGGACGTCAACAGTCAATGCTAAATGTCTTTCTGATTCTGGTAATCTTTCTCTCATGTCATTATTATTATCTTGTGCTTTCACAATTTCATTTGACGGCTTTTCAGCACTGCTAGAACTTGGCGCAGCATTTGTCTCTTCACTTGGTTGTTGCTGATTTTGTATTTGTTGCTGTTGCTGCGGTGGTTTTGATAAATTATTGTTCTTGTACTTGTCATCAGCCAAAATAATTGAGATCAATGATAACAATCGAAGGAGTTTATCAGTCAACATTGTATTCTTTCTAATAATATCATACGAGAGCATGGTTATTAATTGTCCAAAAGGCGATTCAGCAAATGATTTAATGTCTTGTTCACAGAACTCTTTTATTTGTTTACATGCCGATCGAATTTTCGCTCCTTTCTTTGATCGATCATCAATTTCATTGTCTAATCTCAACAAAATATCCCAAAAGTCTGTTGATCTATCACGCTGTAATGCTTGAGCAGATGTTGAAGGCATTGAATCGCTAGTTTCGTTTGACGAATTTGATGGGTGATTTGCATTCTTTCTGGATGGTGGCAAAAAGTGAATTGGGAAAGTTTTGGCGAGGAAAATCAACAAATCAAGTGTATGACGACAAACAGTTGGTGATGCTTTCGGATGAATTGTTAATGGTACATTATTCGAGCCTACTTTCTCGAGTTTCTTAAGGAACACATTTGCACGTCCACCTAATGCTGAATCTAATCGCAATTTAAGCCATTTAACTTTATCATCATCACGGTTGGATTTCTTTGATGACGTTGGTTCTAAATAATGCTCCATAGACTCCTCATTACATCTCATGATGATGCTTAATAGCGATTTAATGATCCACTTCCTAGTTGGAATATGGAAGCACAAGTTTCTAATGACACGATATAATCGTAATGTTCCAATATTCGGATCATCGATGAATAATAGTACGAGTATTGATGCCAATGATTCTTGATCTAATAATGGAGCTCCTTGACGTTCCATATTTGAAGTTATTGATGTCTGTGTTAAAGTGTGATTTCTCGTTAGAGCCATTGTGTGAGTTCCTGTCGTTCCAAAACCTAAAAGGTGTTGACGAGGAACAAACACTCGAGGATCTGCAAATAGGAATACTTAGGTGTTAGACCTTTCTTTTAAAAATTACTTTTATCTACTTACTTCTGTTTCCAGGAGCTCTCAGAGCATTTGTAAAACTACTTGACAGAATTCTCTCCTGCATTTGACGATTTCTTGTTTCCCAATCTCGACGCAATGTCTGTGCTTCTGCTGCCAAGTCTGGAGGTAATGCCGATATTTGTGAATCCTCCATATCAGTTAATATCTATACAAGAAAATAAATAATTAATCATTGTAAAAATAATAAATATAATTTAAACTTACAGCTTGACGCAAAGAAGGTTGGAGATTTTGGAAGAATTCTGCAGCATTGACAGGATCATTGGGATTTGCAGCAGCTGCTGCTTGTCTTTGCTGTTCTAGTCTTTGTTGTGCTAGTACTTCTTCTTGTATATTTAATGGAAGTGCTGCCAAAAACTCTGGATTAACATCAGCCATAGCTTGTGCTTCCTGTAATGCAACACTAGCTTGAGCACGTTGACGGATTCTTTGTTGCCTACAGTTAGTTTTTAAATCAAAAATTATGAGTATTTTCAAAAATTTATGGAATTCAACTGTGTCTCACCTGATATGTTCTTGGACAACTTCATCTCTCAATTCTGGAGGCAATGCGGCCAAAAATGATGGATCGACGCCTTCGGGAACTTCCATATCACCCAAAACTGCACGAATTGCTGGATCAATGTTTTGTATCATTACAGTCGTACCAGATGCTTCATCTTCATCTTCTTCCTCGACATTTTCTACATTTTCTATTTGTTCTGTAGATGCAGTAGCTTCTTCGTCAGCCTGATTATTTGATACAGCTAGTTCTATAGGCTTTTCGTCGTCGTCGTCATCATCATCATCATCAGAATCATCGCCTGAATCTGTATTATCGGAATCGTCAATTGGCAATGGAATTTGACTAGCCTCAATAGCCATTGAATTAATTAGCTCACCATTTTCACTATCAGCCATTGGATGATCTTGTTCCATTTGCTGCGTTCTGGGTGACTGATTTTGATCCTGAATATTCATATTACTCACTTGATTTTGCTCATTTGAAGCAGACGAAGGCGTTTCACGATTAAGCATATTTAATTCGCCAGTCTCAATCTGATTACTATTTGGCGAATAATTTGGTGAAAATGATCGCGAGTTGTTTGCTGAAGCAGACGATTCTTCATTATCAGATGCCATCTCAACATCCAAGTCTAAATTCAATTGATTATCTGTTGTTATGTGTTGTGGTGGTGAAACAATTTGTGTTGAAATAGTGATTGGCTGAATAACTTGTGGAATTGCATTATCATTATTCTGTTCAGATTCATGAACATCCATGAATGAGATGTTAAGATTATTTGATGATGGTGTTGTAGATGATGCATTTGGCAATGATTGTTGCTGAACCAAATTATTAGCATTTGATAAATTCTCACTGAACTCATTATTATTATTATTATTATTATTAGGTATTGGTTCAGCAAGTCGAATCGGTTCAATTGGAACAGGAACGCTTGTTAAAACACTTGATAATGCAACTTCTGGTTGTACATGAATTTCAGCAGTTTCCTCATCATTTGTTTTCTTTCCATCTTGATTACGCTGTTTTGCCTCTTCCTCTTCTAATAATTTCTTCTTTCTTTTTCCGCGCATTTTACTCAGTTCAGCCGTACGTGCAGCATCAATTTCGGGAATCATCTCATCACACATTACCATACACAAGTCCGAATTTGAATCAGGTCCGGATATTTTATTCTCTTCCTGCCACCAACTCAACGCCGATGGATGATTATTGAGATGGTTTGCGAGCGTTCGACCAAACCAATAGCCTGACTGATCAACCATTTCTAAATCTAAATCATCGCCATTAGAGAAAATACTGAATCCATTATCCATCACCACAACACGAGTTCCGTCGCGGAACAAGAAAGGATCATTACCTGCATTTTGTCCCGCTTGACGATTATGTCGTAGTTCAAGCATTCGCTGAAGAATTATCGGCTGATTGCGTGTGTTTACATTAATAAACTGATAGCGTGTTCGCGTACGATTTGATCGACGTGCAGTCTGCAAGCCTTCCCCAACATGCAAACGATCATCAGTACGATCTGTCGATATTCCATCAGGTCTTCCTGAAAGTAATGGATGATTATTTGGTGGTGGTGCATTCGTATTAATTGTTGCACTCGTCGTATCATTCGTGCTTGTCGATTGAGCTCCCTGAGCTGGATTGGAACTATCATTTACACCTGGCTCACTATTTTCATTGTATAATAATGGGAAATTGGCATTGAAGAGGAAATTCTGTGGCTGCTCATTAACAATATTTGCATTCGCCTCATTATTTGTAACAGATATGTTGATATTGCCACCGATTTGAGAATCACGATCTCTGACAACACGATTTTCACGCGTTTCCGTATTGTTATTAGCAATTACATTATTTTGAGCATTATTTGAATACTGAATCATTAAAATATCTTCATGATCTCGCTCAATTTCTGGTATAGACGGTGATAAGTGTCGTCCATACATTGAATGTCGATCATACATCTCAAACGGCTGCGTTTCTTCGTCATCATCCAATTCAGATCTTTCCTCGTTTTCCTCTTCTTCATCCTCGTCGTTTTCAATTTCTTCTACAAATGCAAAAGTGTGAAAAAAAAAATAAAAAATGTAAATGGATTAAAAATAGATACAACACGCGAAATTGTTTTGTTATTTTTGAATTAGTGGAGAAAATCGCTACCAAATTGATTGTTGCGCACAGTTAAAATGTGATCAATTTACTTTTGTTTGTATTTTTGACGATTGATTTGATTACTCAACGATATTAAATTCTACACTTATCAATCTCGGGATTGAATTTTGTATGAAATAATTACAAAAGTCCTGCATTTTTCACGGAACAATCAATAACCTTTAAGAAATGTGTTGATTAATCAAAATTTCGTAAGCAGATCACTTTTCTGTTTAACGGTTTTCTTGCATTTGAAGAATTTTTATTTAACGGTTTTCTGATATTTAAATTTTATAGCGGTAGAAAAAAAAATGAATTTCTAAACGCACCCTGAACAATTTTTTAAAGCGACAGAAATAATTGAAATTTCTGAAACAAATCACGTGTTATATATAACGGTTTTTTGATAATCAAATTTTTGAACAAACTCAGAAGATTTTATCACAATCAAAATATTGCACTTTTGCTTAGAAATTTAACTCATATTTTTAAAACCCGGGACATTTATGGTACTGAAAATAGGTTGGTATAAAATACTTACCAACTTCGTCCATTTCTCGTTCTTCATTATCGGAAGCGTTAGACTCACTATCATCAGAATCGCTACTTGATTCCTCACCCAAGACATGCATCAATTCGACATTATCTCTAATCATTCGACGACGACCTCCTTCATTTACTTCCTCGTCATTATTATCATCTTGATTGGCGTCTTCTGCATATTCATTTATTCCACGCAATTCCTCACTGATTAGTGTATCAAGGATTTCATTCAAATGAACCTCACCAATATGATCGCCCAATTCATTTTCACCGACTAATGAATCAATTGCTGCACTGGACATATCACGATCAGTATTTTGCTCAGAATCATCTGCCAACATTTGTTCATCCTGTGCATTTGTCGAGTCACTGTTTGTGGCTGTTGAACGATTTTGATTATTAATTGGATTAATAGATGTTCCTGCTGATACTGTCGTCATTGTTGCATTTACATTGTTACTTAATGCTTCACTATTTGTTTGATTGTTTTGTTGCTCAGTAGCCTCAATTAATGTCTCTTGTTCAACAATTGGTGGCGCTGGAATTCCGTCACTTTCGCTTTGTGCTGTTTGTGAGCGACGTTGTGTAGGCATTTTCTTGAATTTTGATGATGACGGCATTGAAGGCATTGGCTCATTTGTTAATCTTAAGAGCATTTCTAATGGTTTCATCAAATGATTTAATGTTGCAATTGTATTTGGTCCACCAAGTTCCAAATATTGAGCAGCTCTAGCAATATCTGTAATAATACCCTTCTCAACCATAATGTAAAAGATATTATGACGAACTTGACTCTGTCCACTTGTCTTAAAGAATTGACTTCCTTCTGTATTCCCAGAATTATTGCTATCGATCATTGCTGGAATTAAGGTTGCAAGACCTTCGATATGGAGATGCTTTTCGGTTGATTCTGGCTCATTTAATGCACGTTGTAATGCCATTTTAACTTCATGAACAACTGTCTCTTGAGCTTGAGTTACGTCTGACGATGCAATTGCTGATATTAGATTTTGTGCCATTGTTGGACATTCACGATCCATATTTGCATCACAGATATGAAACATTTTGTCGAGAATGAATGAAAGAGCTGTTGTATCTTCATTAATTAATGAGGAACTTCCAGCACGATAAAGATGTTCTGTAATGTGAAGTGCAACCGTTTGATAACTCTTTACAGATTCAGCCAAAATCTTTAAAATTGCAGATTTATTCATTAATGGTTTATCACTCATGCTTCCTTGCTTCTCTTTCTGATCATCTGATGAACTTTGACTTGATTGCTGTGGCTGTGGTTCTGCTGTAAACTTTTCTTTTCGTGCAGCACCTTGCGAATCTTTGCTCTTTTCAGCTTGCATCCACATTATGTTACTTCCTGGTTCGTCCGGTTCAATTAATGCTTTTAATAATTTACATACAGCTGACATTGCAGTCGATTGTTCCATATTATATTTCATATTTGTTGACAAAGGAAGTGATCTCATAATAAAACGTTTTTCATCAGGAATTTGTGATCGTTTCATTGAATCAAAATCAACGCGTAAGATTTTTAAAGCTGCTTCCTTGAATAACTCTGGATCACGATAAACGGCAGAGTTTAATTGTCGAATGAGAAAAACTAATTCACGATGTCCTGGTGGAATTGTAACTAATGTTCGATTTACTAATACATTTTGAATTGCAAGTGACAATGTTTTTGGTTCTTCAATTACATGACGAATCAAGAGTGTTGCTAATGTCGTAAATCCAATAAATCCAGAGTTTTGTTTCATGTTTAACAAGACATCAATGCCACCGAATCTAGCAAACACTTCGGCCAATGTATAATTTTTAGTCAAACGAACAAGAACACGCATAATTGCATGTAAAGTGTCTCGATCGAGTTGTTGATGTGCCATTAGTTGTACACATGAAGAGACAATTTCTTCCGGAACGAAGCTACTCAATGGTTCAAGCTCAATTTCTTCAAGCATTTTGATATAATTCTTTGCTGGCGTATCAACATCCATTAAATTGACACTTTCTACGGTTACTTCTGTTGATGATGTTGCTGTTGTTGTTGGATGTACGGTCTGTACAGAAATTATAGAAGAACTTTCGGTAATTGTTGTAGCCATTGATGATGAGGCAATAATTGGATCACTTCCAGAAGCTTGCTGTTGTTCTGCATCTTCTGCTTTTTCGTCAAATGCATTAGTCGGATTATTCATTGTTTCTATTGATCTCAATGCCATTATTATTGGACGATGATTTGAGCTTTCATCATTTATCTGTGACATTGATTTGAAATTAATTGTATATCGATGACGTCCGACCATTAACTGTAATTCACTTTCTCCTGCCATGTATGCATCATTTATTAATTTATTCTGTTGTGGTAAATAATTTGTCCACTTTGATGAACTGATATCATACCATTGCCATTGTTGTGTACATATCTTATGCATTTGTTGCTTTTGTTTTGTTGAAAGTGCAACTTTATCATACAAATCGAGCAATAAAGCTAATGGAGCAAGCCATTTTGGTGTTGGTAATGCTTTATTCATCATTGTTACAATCATTTGATAGTCTGTCAAGACTTTAATTAGTCTCGGTATAATATTGTATGAATTTAGTGCATTTGCGCATGGAACTTTCATGTCTTGATATTGTCCTTGGAAAAATAATGTGAACAAATGAATTCTTACTGCCGTTTTATTTGCCATGTCTCCAGACACAAGCTTTTCACTCTTTTCCTTATAGTTCTTTGTCCCGTCATCAACTAAGATTCCAATTAAGAACTGAATACAGTTGAAAATCTCTTTACATAATGTATCGAGCATTTCATCACGCCAAATTGGACCGTTTCGCTTAGTGACGGTAATGAGAAGATCACAAATCTTATAGACTGTCTCTGGCAATTGATCCAAAATGTTTAAGCATGTCTTTAGCAAGTTTGATGTAAAATCATCAATAGTCTTTTTCGGTAATGGTTGTTCAATCAAGTACTTTTTCATAATTTCCTTTTGTCGGTTTTTAGATGTTTCACCACCTTTTGTCTTATCATCCTTAGTTCCCTCCAATGTATTCTTACTTGTTCCTGGAGAAATTTCCATACTATTTCCCGATGCAGATGTTGTCGGTCGATCATTTCCTAAACTGTTTAAAATTGCACGAATTACATGCTCATCTTCTTCACCAACATCAATGTCCATATTTATTGGCACTGGATTACTATTTGCAACTACAGAACGTTCATCATCACTCACGACATCGAATAATATCGAACGATTGCGTGGATTAGTTAAGAGATATTCTGTTGCTCCTTCCAAGCTCAAATAACGTTGAAGTGCATAAACACTTTGCTCACGAGAAAATCCCATATCAACTAGTTGTCTTAAATGCTCTTGATTGACATCCGTTGCTGCTGCTACTGTTTCACTCCCAGGCATTATTGATTTTGATTTATTGTCTAATGAAATAGAAACACCTTGTCCATTCTTATAATATTTTGATTGTAAAACCTTTTCACCTTTAATGACATGCTTTAAAATCGATAACATTGATTCAGTCATGCGAAGTCCATATGACTTTAATGGCTTAAAGCCCCAAATGTGTTGAATTGCTAAAAATGCATTGCGATGAATATATGTCAAATAATGTTTTGTGTCAAAATCAGGCTTTCCAGTACGATTCTTTGATGTAATCTGATGTGGTGACTCAATTATATATTTTAAATTTGTCATTTTCTCAAGCAACATAAGCCAAGCGTCTAATGCTTCTCCAGTTCCATCTGGCAAATTTGGATGCTCGATTGCACGATGAATGGGTATTGTATATCCAGCAGTTAATGTCCAACGGAACATTTCAAAATAGGCTTCAAGTCCGCCTTCTTCAATAAATTTGTATAGCATCAAATGATAAGCAAATCGTTTCTCATCAAATAGCATTGGACTTGTAAATCCAATTGAGCAGATTAAGAATGTTAATTTTAATTTCGGAACTGGTGATGCTGGCAGTTTTTGGAACGATAATCCATCAACTAGTATGAAACTTAAAATTCGAGCAATTTCTTTTGCTGTTGGCGATGTGAATGATGTTGCTGGAATGAAGTTTTGTCCACGACGTTGACGAAGTGGAGATCCAACACACAATCGGACTAATAAGCCAAAAAGCTCTGCTAAAGCACGTCCTAATCTTGACGAAGCTCCCAATAATGATTTGATGTATTTCAATTGACTTTGTGATGTTACAAACTTCATACTAGCATCGGGCTGTTTAATCTTTCTCAAAGCACCAGTGCTCGATCCATCTACATCCATATTTGATGAGCTACTAGGAATTGGTGTTAGATTCTCCATAACTGCTAAATTTGTTACAATTTCGTCCCAATTGACTTCAATCACATTTTTAACATCACTAGCACCCAACTTTTCCATTTCATCTTTACTGAATTCAGAACCAGCTGGAACAATGTCGTCAGTACACAAAGCCAGCAATAGTGTCGATTCCCAGACAAGACCTGTATAAAGCATCACAAGCTTCTTTAAAAGCTTTATTCCAGTTTCATTATCCTGTCCCCATTTAATTAATGATAATGTTCTTATATCACTTTGACCACTTCGACACACATGAACAAGCATCAAAACATATCCATGAACGGCACTCATTGCATGCAACAATGGTGTATAATTTGCATTTGTGAATGCGTGATTAATGTCCTGACAATTTGCAAGTTCCTTAAGCAAAACACTACTGCTTGTGTGCTCCTGATTATTCATGAGCGATTGAAGGCTTTCGACAACCACAGACAATTGTTCCAATGCAACTTGCAAGACTTGTGGCTCATGTGTTAAGTTCTGCACACACAAAGATAAAATTAGTAAAAAGTTTTAAAAGTTAAATAAATTATTAATCTTACCAAGATGGATTTACAAACAGAAGCAACTGCTTGTGCCGTAGCTGTAATTGGTGAATTAAGACTTGTTACTGGCAAATTAGGAAGTGCCAAGATGGACAAAAGTGACTTTAAGCCACCCAAGTTGACGAATTCACGACAATGATCGTCAGTCGAGTTGTTGCTTAAAATAGCCTCAAGGAATTTCATCGTGTTGAGAATGTAGTCAATGAGAGCAATTGGAATGCGTTCAGTAGGCGATGATGCTTGGGAAGTGAATGTTGATTGCGACGTTCCTTGTTGTGGTTGCGCTTGGTTTGAATTTGTTACTTCTTCATTTCCTGTAGCAGTTGTTTGTCCCTGAGCTTGATTATGTGACGATGTTGATACTTCTTCTTCGTCGTCTTCATCCTCATCAGAACTTCCGCCATTATTGTGATTACTATTAGCTTGTCTTGAATTTGGCATTTGTGGCGATACATCATTTTTGTTTTGTGCACGCCAGCACACATATTTTGGATCAGTTCCAAGATCCACAATTTCTTCTAGTAACTTGATGATTGCTTTTATTGCTGGTGTCTTTAAGCTTGGCTGATTTCTCATTAGCTCGTCCATTGCATTTCCAATATTTGATGCCGTATCGCCAAGTGGATCAGAACTACGTCGTCTTCGCATCGCAGACAAGTAGACAGGTGAAATAAATACTCGGAAAAGTTTATCGAAAGGATTATATTTCAGGAAACTTTCCATTCCTCTCGTGTTAAGACACAATGCACTAAAAACGTTTGGCAACGATCCAAGAACTTCGCGTGTCGCTGGTACGTCCTTCTTTAAGAGTGCTTGTAAAACAACATCAGTTAATCCGTTATCTTGAAGTGATGAGAGCAATGATGGTTCTTGAAAGACATAAACAGTAACAACATCTGTTGCGAGGAGGAATAATGAAGGACCATAATACTCTGAGTTACTAATAATATGTTTTAATGATTCAGGAAGAGTTGCTTCCATTATGTGTCTTATTGAATCAGAAAATGCAATGTCTTGTATTGCCTTCTTAAGAAAGTTTAGCATTGATTTTAATAATGCTGCTCGTTGCGGTAAACAAGTACGATTTGTTATTAATTGTTGTTGTTCACTTGACTTATTTAATATTGATGTTGCACTGCCGCTGCCATCAATCGATTGTGTTGATGTAGTCATTCCAAGATTTGCACTTGTTGATGCTGACATACAAATGTCATCATCACCATATTGACTTCCAGTGTCCATTGCTTCATCAATATGTGTTATATTCTTATCGTGCTCTGCAGGATTTTCAATGTTTGGTTTTATCTCGTAGGATTGCTCTTTACGACACAAATTCACTTCCATATTTAGGCGCTTGATAAATGTATTGAGTCCGTAATTGGTTTGAAATGATTGCATATCTAGATTGGTAATCAAGTCTATAACTCTCACAGCACGTGTTACAAATGTAATATGTTCAAGTTCCGAACCAGACCAATTGATGACTCTCAATAAACTCTCCATCATACCGCATGAAACTAGCGATTCTGCGCCAGGCTCATAGCTTGCCAAATGATACAAGAAGCTAAATAGAGCTGTTGCAAGCTGCAGAGGAAACAAATTGTCATCATTTGACGATGATTTCTGTTGTTCTGTTGCATTGTATGACGGTGTTGTAGGTGTTGTTGATTTATTGTTTGAACCAGTCAAATTAACAATACAATTTCGGACGAGTGTCGGTAAGAAGCCATGATAAGATGATGCACCAGTGACTTCAATTATCGTATTTAAGCGAGATTCAGATTTTCTGCAATTAAGTAAGAAATGAGAATATGTAGATTAGAGTTGAAGTAATGAAATAACAAGAAAATGATTTTATAAAGAAGAAAGAAAGACTAGACTTGAGACTTACCGTTGATACTGTGAATTTCTTTCTAAATGAATTATTGCGGTTAAAGTTCTCAATGCGGCAGCACGAATTTCAACCAAATTTGGCTGTTGAAGTTCCAACAATTCAACTAGTTCTTCCAGAAAGCCAGGATAAATGAGAGTTGGTGTATATCCCATTAAAGCATCAGAATAGACGAGTATCGATAATGCTTGTAAACGAGCCTGCACGAATAAAATACGATTTTCATAATTCCAAAATCCAGTTGCGAGCCGTGCTCGTGCAAACAAATGATATTTTTGATCATCGTCGAGATGTTGATCCAGATCCTTCCATAATTTGACTGTTATACTCTTTGGATCATGCTTAGATATATTCTGATGATCAATTACTTGCAAGGCTCCAGTTTTAGTGTAATATTCATAATAGAAATGATAAATTGCCTTTGGCATTTTCTGATCGGGACGGCAACAATCTGCTAAACCAAATCCGCACTCCTTGCCTCCATAAGGTTCAGCAATATGTCTCAAGCGATTCAATAATGTGTTTTTCTTATGACTACTTAAACGCGATATGAAATTACTTCGTTTTGAGAACATGTACAATAGATTGAGAACACCAAGAATGATTTCAAGATCTGTCGAGAGCAAAAGCTGTGTAAGGTGCTCAACAGAGTTGTAAAGATGTCTCGAGAAGCTGTGTTCTATCAGCAAAGTTGTGAAATTGAGTACGAGAAGAAGCAATTTGCGACCCTGAAAAAATTAATTATAGTTCAATTACACATCGATATATTGACGGAGAAAGTAAATAAATTATATGCATACCTTTTCAAATGGAGGTGTATCACACGTAATGTAAATTGGGTGCTCTTCATAATGAGTCGCTTCTTCTAATATCTCATCAAATATATCGAGAATGTCAATCCAGTGAAATAATTCACACTTCCCAAATGTCCAAGTCTCAATTTTTGCTAGTTCTTCTATTAACTCATTTCGATTACATGATTTGAGTTTGTCAATTAGATTTTGACATTCTGGTGGAACTTCTGATGTTCCTTTCTTTAAGCGGCTCGTATCCACTTTCATGATGACTTTTTTCACTTCTTCTTTCCTTTGATTTTATTTTTTCTTCACTAGGAAATTCAAAAAGACTTGTCTGGAATCACAAAAATAAATTTTAACATGACAAAAAGCTGCTTAATATTTAGTTTTTTTGGTAAATTTTACATAAACAACGAAATCACGATGATCAAGAGAAAAATTAAAGTTAAGAAAATTTCACAATACAGTTTTGTAAAAATGGCGAATACTCGGAATCGAAGAAAAAAGTTTAAATGCACTTGAAAACGTTAACCTTTATGAGTTATTTATGTCCAAATCGAGGAGAATGGTCACAAGTAATGAAAATATAATACTTTTATCTTACAAAAGATGATAAAAATTCCTAAAACTGTTTTTCCGAGAATTCAGAGATTTTTCACACAAAACATCCAGTAAACCATGTGCAAAATAAAAATTGACTGGATTTATCCAACTTTAATGGCTTTTGCACAATATATAGAATGAATATCACGAAATATGTTTAAATTTATAGAAACAAAGAAAATGGGATGAAAAAAATTACTTACAAAGCATCACACAGCACATTACAAAAACAATTTTCGATGAAAAAAATTCAATTCACTTTTTTGCACTTTTCAGGCGAAACTAAAAGAATTCTTTACTATATTCTTAGTAAGAGTGTTATCACAAAGCGATTTCAATTATTTAAACGCTTTAAAAGGCTCTAAATTTGTCAAAATTTAATTAAATCTTATTTTTCTTCTCGTTTTCTCGTAAGCTAAGAATCAGAAATCCAATTTAGTTTTTCAAATTTTTTTCGACAGTTATACTATTGTTGCTCACATTTTCAAAATTTGTATTACCGTTGATGAAATTGCGATTCATTTAATTTTCCTACCAGAAATAAACAGCTAAAGTTACCATGATATGCTTATAAATCTTAGATATCATTCACATTAATTCATTAATTTTTTAATTTCTTAGGCTGAAAGAAATGAATTTAAAAATGCAGTTTATTTCTTATATAGTATAGACTAAAATCATTCAAAATCAAGCATAAATCTGTAAAATTTTAACATTTAGAATCTCTAGTCGCTTAGACCCGAACATACAAAGAGCATGCTCAGAAAAGTGAGCATATAAGTAAGTCTACTCAAAAATTATACTCATGCAAGCTCATTCAACTGAGCATGTTCAGGAGTTCATTACGAATGTACTCACTTTATTTTTTTGCAAAAAATTTATAAGCTCACGTGAGTACATTCAACGAGTGTACTCATGAGAATATTAAGAACATACTCATGGGTATTTACTCTTCTGAATACACTTTTTTAACATACTCATGAGCATATAATTAACATAATTATACCTATATGACATTTTAAAAAATGGTCAACCAACTTAAAATCTAAATTAGAATATATTTTAATGATAGTCGACATTTTTTAAAATGTTATTTTTAAAAAATTGTCAACCAACTTAAAAGCAAATGTTGAATATTTTAGAACTTAGTTTGTCTGTAATAATATAATAATTTAAGTATAAAGTTTTGCCATTTAAAAATTATTATATATTTACAGAAAGTTGCTCCAAGGAAAAGTGTGAGGTGACAGAAGTTAAGCAACGCAATAGGTTTTTCTACAAGAATAGGTGACTGGTTTTTAAAACATCCTTCTTAAGTATTTGAGAAAAAATGTTAATAATAATTTCTACCTCTTCCAAAATTATTCACAGAATTATCCTTATTAAACTCAAATTTAGGTTAATTAATTTTTTGAATTTTGTGACTTTAACTGATTGCACTCATGAGTGTGCTTAGATGAGCATATACTCATTAATAAACTCACTAAGCATATATCTTTTGAGTATCTTCATGAGTTTAAGCTCTTTGAGTATGTTCATGAGTATATGCTCTTTGAGAATGTTCATAAGTATATTCAATAAAAAATGTTGCATTAAAAAAATGTTGCGTGTAGCATGTTGCTTTCTCATTTGAGTATGCTTATGAGTTTACTCAGTGAGCTTAATGCATGTCACATAGGAATGTGCTCACTGAGCATACTCAAAAAGGTACTGTGATCGCATCACTTTAATGTATGAAATGAGCACATTCTCACAAAAGTTTGCAAGCTCACAAATAATGTGCTCTGAGTATACTCGTTGTATGTTCGTGAGAATTAAGATTTATATAATTTGTGGATTAAAATCTTCCAATCATTGAAGAAAATATTATTTGCAATAACTGCGAATTATTCATTCAATAAATGTTGAATCAAGGTAATATAAAGCGGATGAATATGTTTGAAATGGTCTAAAAATGGTTATTAAATGAACAAAAAAAAAATAAGATCACAAAAAATATAAGAAGCCAATAATCTTAGCATTCTGCATTAATCTTATGTACGGTACTTAACATCAGAAATTATAGTTGCAAATCTTGATTAAATCGTATTTGTCTTTACAAGTCTTTGCATTAAAATGTGGATGGTCTAATGAGAATAGAAAGACTTTTTTATGCAATGACTTATAAGTAGTGATCACTCAATATGCATGCTTTGTTCTGCAAATATCCGTTTAGTCTCATATGCAGTGTTGTTTTTTAAAATACATTTGATTCCATTAGTATGGAAATCTTTGTCAGTTGTTGACTTACAGCATAGCTCCTCTGTTTTAATGTATTAATTCTAGTGCCTTACTTAAACTTCAAGTCAAGTTTCTTTTTTTTTACATTTCAATATTAATTCTTTGTCATTTAAATTAAAATGGTTTAAATATTTATTTTAGCATAGTATTAACTAGGGTAAATACTTTTGAAGTTTGCACAACTTTGCACATGAAAATTTTATTTGCTTGGAACTTTTCAACAGATTATTGTTAAGGCTTAAAAAAACTTTTGAGCTGTTGAAAATTGTGGAAATTTTAATTTGCAACTTCTTTCTGAAAGCTACGATGGATATCAGCAGAGATATAAGCGTTTTATTTTTGACTTTTGAAATTTGCATGGAAATTTTAAAAATTTGCACAAAAAACTTATAAAATTTGCACACTTTTTTGATAGCAATCCATGACAATTTTGTATTTATTTTATGTAAACAATTATTTTTTTTTTATTTTTTTGGGAGAAGAAATAATATTTTCATCTGGTAATTTTCAAATCTAATAACAGTATTACTGATATTCTCGATATCCTCATATTTAAGCTGATTTTATTCCTATCACTCATCATTAAATAAGGGGCCATTCACTTATTACGTTCGCATTTTAGGGGGGAGGGGGGGGGGGTTGAAAAATTGTAACAAAATGTAACATAGGAGGGTTGAAACATTAATGTTTACATCAAATTTTTCAATACCTCCTACGCTTAAAACTGTGCAAATTTCAAAAGTTTCGACAAATTTTTGTGCAAATTTTAAAAGTGAAAAACAAGCTTTTTTAAAAGTGATTTTTGGGCAGTTCCGCTTATTCTTTCACAAAAGAAATACTTCCAAAATTTTAAACAACTTAAGAATTACATTTTTTGATTTCAAAATATTTGATAAAGCCACTGATTGTATCCCAAAACCTTATATTTTGCAAAAATTTGTTTTGTTTGAAAAATTGATCGCTGAAGGAATTCTTCTTCCTGATGCCTTTAGACAACTTAAAATGGTACAACAATATTTGTACAATAATTATACAAAGATTTTGTGAAGAAAGTATTATCAGAAGTGGATATTTTGTGAGAAATTTTCATTTTTTATTTTCATATGAGTGTGCAAATTTCAAAAGTGTGCAATTTTCAAAAGTATTTACCCTAAATAGATACAAGAATTAAGTAAAAAATTAATGGTGTAATGTGTACTTTAATGTTCGTGATAAGCTGCAATACAACAGTAATGAAGTAACACTTTAGTTGTCTATAGGTACTTAAAAATTATCATTGAATGAAGAAATGAGGGTCTTAGTGCATGAACTAATTTAAATAGGCATGTGAAATTTTCACATTTAATTATTCATGTCGCTGACCCGTCAAAAATGTTAATTTCATTCGTCTTTTGCAGAGCAAAAAAATATATATAAAAGGCATACAAGAGTTGGCTTTAGTTGATGATGTGATGATGAAAAATGCAAATTAAGAATTTATTGTGTGCACGAATATGTGATGGGGAGAGAAGAAAAGAGATCGGAATTTATTGATAAGTCGGTCGAAAGTTATTCTCCCATAACTTTCGATAAGACCTGAAACTTGAAAGAAAAGCAGGTGAGTAAAATAATAAAAAAAGCAGATGTCTTCGTGACATAATTTTAATTTTTATCGATAAAAACTACTTCCGTATTGACATTTTTGATCTTCTCCAATGATTCAGTTCGATAGGAAATTATAAAAATAAATGTTTGCACTTGTCAAACAACAATTGAATATCGCTCGTTAACTTATGTTTCATGTCATATGCCTAACCATTTCAATATTTTATTCAATGATAGACATTTAAGTAGTTCATAAAACCAGGAGCGAGCTTAATGTGAGATATTATGCAAAAAAAAATTAAGAAAAAGGCGTGCAGACAAGTCCATGCACATGAGACATGATAAATTAAATTGGCATAATGCAGTGTTGTTAAATATACGTCTGATATAAAATGATGCTTAAATCAAAAAAAAAGTAAAATCTTTTTGAGTTTGTCCTTAATATGTTGTCTACCAAATAGTTTTGATCCTACAGCTTTGAAAAGTTACTCAACAGAATTCAGAAGGTCTGAAGCTATATACAAATCGAAAAATCATTTGAGGTATAGAAGAAGGTTACAGACAAGGGGTGAGGGCTCCTCAAAAAGTGCAAAAATTTATTGAAAAATGCAATAAAGTGCTTCAAAGTAGAATAAAATTGGGAAAAGTGCAACAAAGTAGAAGGAAGTAGAGTAAAGTGCAATGAAGTGCAGCAAAGTTGAGCAAAGTGCAATAAAGTGCTGTAAGTGCATTTCACTGTGGAACATCTTTAAATTTGAGATAGTACTGCACTTTCAATGCACACGATGGTTTTTGCTTTATTTCTTATGTACTTTGTTGCATATTACAAACCTTTTTTACGCTTTGTCATTGTTAACTGTATATCGCAGCAGTTTTGTTGAATTTTAAAGTGTATTACTAAACTCCTTTTTAGAATAATTTACTTCATTGCTTTTTTTGAGAAATTTGTAAGCTAAGTCTAGAAAACAAAAATTTAAATATGATTGACCAGATCTAAATCTTATGGAACCCAATATACAATAACCTCTTAAAAATTTGCTGAAAAGAACATTGAGTTCGAAAAGCAAAAAAAAAATATTCCCGTTATGAAAAGTCAAACAGAAAATTTCAAATTTAACTAGTGTATCAGGTAGAAACCCAATGCGGATATATTCAAACCGTACCATCAAAAGTCTTATGTATAGACCAAGATTTGCTCTGCATAAGTTTGAAGGTTTAAAGCTAAACGCTGATACGAACAATTCATGTTCGACAGACTTATCGAAAGTCTAGGGGAGTTATAATATGCACGTTCGAAAAGTTTAAATTTGAAAGAAACCGTTACAATTTTAGTGATTTTATTAGAGTTCTTGATCGTTTAAAAAAAGATTCAGCTATATTATGCTTATCATTCAATGACTACATAATATTTTCATCTAAATTTCATACAAAACTTGTTTAATTTAAGTTTTTATTTTTTGTAATTTAAAAATTGGAAGAAAGGAAAATTTTATGCTTTTTCTGAATCAATGGCTGTTCCTGCCACTCCCAAAAACTAATCAGTTCTTTTATAGAGC